CTCAAACTTTAGCAGTGGCAAAGCAGAGACCAGAGAGTTTTTTAGACTCTCCCTCAATATCATTTTTGAGTCCTATAAGTAGAGTTAGTAGACAAGCAAAGTATCATGGATACCATACCAGCATTATCATAATTTCATACATAAGAAATTGGTTTAAATCTTGAGTAAATGAGGAGATTAAAAATGAACTGATTTTAAAAAATCTCTGGTTTGTCACTATGCGGCTTAAGTATTAACTGAACAACTAACAAGTAGGCCTAATTTCTGGTCACATTCTGCAAAATCACCAAAAGGTTTGGATCCATTCTTCTTTGCATAGAAGATAACATGGCACTTTGCACGTTTGAAGAAACATGGCATAATTGGCATTGACAGCTGCATGTTTCCCAATTGAACAAAGGGCAAATTCTTCTTTAACTTTTGACATCTTTAATTGAATTGTTAACAGATGGTAAATAGGCCTACTTTATATTACATTTTATCATAGTGGCAATAACTGCAAAGCAGAGAGTTTTTTAGACTCCTCCTCAAGTTCATTTTTGAGTCCAGAGTGGAAATCTAAGATTAGAGGTTCACTTAAAAAAAAGCGTTCCGCCTTGAAAAAAAAAACGTTCCAGGCAAGTGGCAACTAGAAACAGGTTTGCAGCTGTCTCTTATACACATCTAGATGTGTATAAGAGACAGGTAATACTCCAAATAGCTTAGAATTTGTAAATTTTTATAATAAGATTTTTTTTCTTCATTTATTGACTTAGGCATAATGTATGTAGCGCTAATTAAAACAAAGCAGACAAAATTTTTTCAATGATAATTGATTATGTTAAGATCGGTTAAACTTCACAAAATTATGAGTAGAAAACATACTAAAACTTACCGTTGAGCGCTATAGGGATCCATGTCAGAAGCCAGCATTGCCCAATACCAGCATTTCTTTCATACTCCTTTCCGTGCGCAAGCCTGCTAAAGGGCAGAGTAAACTAGGGGATTATATGTTAAAAGCAAAAGACTGGACTGGAAGTGATGGTGTGGTGAGATGGGTAAATTNCAAGCATTGATTGGATTCTTGTGACTGTTACGTTGGACGCGTTCGAGCGTTGATTGGATTCTTGTTACTGTGATGATGCAAGCATTTTTTTTCAAAGAAACAGCTGTGGCATCTTGCAGAGACTCATCAGTGATGATGATGGAGTGAAAGTGGAAGTGTGCTGGACCCTGGACGTTCCAGATTTTTGGGTCCTGCTTTCCAATTTGCTATGTTTACCAGTTAATATATTACCCCTCTGGATTTCCACACTGTTTGAGTCTTATAAGTAGACCAGTAAAGTATCTTGGATACCAGAATTATCATACATAAGAAATCTGTTAAAATCTTGAGTAAATATGGAAATTAAAAATGAACTGATTCTAAACAATCACAGCTTTGCCACTATGCATTTTATTAAGCTATAATATTCACATATTGATATGGTGGCACAAAATTCAGGGTGGAATTCTAAAATTAGTGGTTCACTTGGAAAAAAGCTCCGCCTTAGGAAAAAAATGTTCCAGGCAACTAGAAACAGGTTTGTAGGCTAGGCTGTCAGAAATTAGCATGAACGTTTCGTCAGGCAACAGCGCAACACAGTGAAGGTCCCAAGATTGTTAATTGTGCGCGTCACTCACGGTACCATAGTGGCCATGGTCAGGAAGATGTGCCAGGTGCGCGGGAATTTATTTTGTCATTTTAACGACCTGCGCGGTGCGCCGTACTACGTTGGTAAAAAAGTGCGCCGTACTTTAGAAAGCTAAAATAGTTCTACTATTTTAGTTGACAATATATGCGAGTATATTGACTACGCGAGTCGAACTGACAATAATAAAATGTAAGACATGTCCGGGTTACTTCTGACTCTTCCGGTTGTCCGCCTTGTCGGATATACGGAACATACGGTAATTGTAAACTGCGGCTGTTATACATACAAAATGTAAACAGACGGTGTTCAGTGTTGCCATATGACTTTGGAGAAAATTTCTTCTAAAATAAAGATGGCCGGGATTGCGCAAACACGTGCGCGAAGATAATCAATTTTCATTACATTGCGCCAACTGTGCACAGCAATAGCTTAAAAAAAGTGAAAATGCACGGGAAAATTCACCGAAAACATACATCATCCTGAGTGTGTGATGGTACCGTAAAATGGGGTAACTTAGACCAGCAGGGTAACTTAGACCACTTTTCGTTTTTTTAACAAAAACCCCTACAACTCAAAAACTATTTGACATAGAAAAATTTTGTCAATGGGCATTAAAGGCCTAATACTGAGGCCACATAACACAATAGAAAGATTTGAAAAGTTTGCAAATCTAATAGGTTAAAAAATTAAAAATGTGACCCATGAAAAAAAGCTATTATTTAAAGCCTGTCAGAGTACCCTCTCCAATTTTTTTATTTTTTGGTTAAATAACTCCAGGTTTTGATGCATTGTAGTAGAACTCTTCTAGTTACATATGCAAATGACAAATTTTAGGAAAGTGTCATAGTTTGCAAATGGGGGGCGCCGCTCCCAAATGGGGTAACTTAGACCACCTAATGTCAGCCCTGACGGGGTAACATAGACCGGCTTGGAAGTTAATATAAAATTACCATATATAACGTATTTTATGTTTGACAGCCTATTTATGTTTTTTCTTTAGGTTTCAGACTCTACAGAGTCTTATATATGGTAATTTAACTTAATTTCCAGGCCGGTCTATGTTAACCCTGTCAGGGCTGCCATTAGGTGGTCAGAGTTCACCCGTTTGGGGGAACTTAGACCACCTGGGTGGCGGGACCCCCCATTTGCAAACTATGACACTTTCCTCAAGTTTGTCATTTGCATATGTAACTAGAAGAGTTCTACTACAATGCACCAAAACCTGGAGTTATTTGGAGTTATTTTACCAAAAAATATAATGGTCTAAGTTACCCCAAGAGCTGGGGTAACAAAGACCATCACTTTTTTTGAAATTACATATAGACTATGAGAGGCAGGAGCCAGCAATTTATGGTGAGTGAAGCTAGAGTATAGACCTGTATTTTGCATGTTTCAATTTAAGTTTAACTTATCTAGTAAAAAAATGGCATTGTTTTGAAATAAAAAAGTGGTCAAAGTTACCCCATTTTACGGTATGCTATTTGTAAGGTGCAAGACACAATATAAAAGGCTCCTGAATTTATCTGGAAATGGGGTGAAAAGGTACACTCGAAATAAAACTCAAATTTTGAACGTTTGAAGCGTGCAGAGTGTTCTCACGTCCTCCTTTTCCTTTTAGATGTAACGTAACAACAAGGAGCTCAACAAGCTTCTTTAGGGAGTGACCATTGCATTGAGTGACCTGGATGTTAGGAGTTCTGCCTAACATCCAGGCTGTTCTGCTACCCAAGAATTTATTTTAATTTAAATTTAGATTTTTGCTTAAATTAAAAATTTGAGCAAAAATCTTTGTGATTAACCCATATTTATCTTAACTGTGGCCTTTGCTAATAGAGGATCTGCTGCAAATGTGTTTTTGGGGTTGTCCCTAAGGACCCTAATCACCCTGGGCCTGGGGGTTGTCCCTAATAATCCCGGGGGGGTGTCCCTAGTTACCCTGGGGGGTGTCCCTTTTTACCCCGTCGCGCAGAAATGGCAGCCATTTTTTTTGGAATGAGATAGGCAAATTCTGTCAATTATGTTTTCAAGCTGACACCTGTGTGCAACTTTTATGTAAGTAAAATTTTTTATACAGTGAATATTTTTTTTGCTCCAGACCTTAGGAGTACTTTTTCAAAAATGCAATTTTCACATTTTTTTCGGCAATTTTTAGAGATAGTAAATGTTTGATTTTTTGACTAGCTTTATACATAATAGATGGTAAAAATGTTGAAGTTTACACCACCATTTTTAGCTTTGCAATATTTTGATCAGTTTAGCTGCTACAACATTGCTACGAAATGTGGGACGCATGTCCCGATTTACCCTGCCTGTCCCCTTTTACCTTGTTTGACAGTATTACTAACAGTAATCTGAAGTCCTCCTTTTCCTTTTTAGATTATGTAGATGTAGAATAAATGATATTTTCTGTGATTTTTACTTGTTTTCCCATTATTGATGATTTTACCATATCCATACATTACTGTATTATTGTTGTTATATTACCATATCCATGATCATGCCATTGAGCATTGCTTTTGTCCACTGCAAGCTTCATATCAGCAGCCATGTAGCATTTCTTTTGTATCTGTAAGCTTACAGGACGGCTTGTAATTTTATGGCTTGTAAATGGGGCCATCTGTTGAAAACTTCTCGGGAGGTCCAACTTGACACCACTTGTGTCAAGTTGACAACAAATAACCAGATTTTCGCACCATGGATATGGCTTTGATTGTCATTGGAAACCATTGATCACTTATCCACTTTTGTTACATGTACAACGTCCTCAAAAAACATAATTTTTCACTAATCCGTCCGCCTGGTGGATGCATACCACACGTATTGGCAACTGTTAGCTCAGTGCATTTTGGTTTTGTGTTGGCTACGGTGCCAGCAGACAGACATTTGATCTAAGCAATGACTCATTTTTCTGTTGATAATCATTCGTAGATGGTTCTTGATGATTATAATTAATAGAAAAAAATTGTTGATTATCACAAAAAATTTAGCACCCTATTTATATTTTGTATGCATTAATAATAGTTCCTTTTTAGCTCTTCTTCCCAAAAATGTTGAAAATTCATAATATTTGATTGACAGTCATGATATCACGGATGGCATGAATTCATGATGTATCATGAATTTATGCTTCATTATTATTATTATTAAGCTCCAACTCAACCCCTGTCATTTAAACCCCCTGTGTTTTCAAGTTTTCCTGGCATGAATTTATGCCATGGTATAGATGGCATATATTCATGCCTAAAAAGTATAGGTACAGCATAATAAATATAAAGTTACCTTACTCCTGCCTACTCTATTTTGTAATGAATGCATAATTTATTTGCAGATTTTTTTGCGTAGTTATTCAATGATGAGGTGAATTGTGATATTCTCTGATGTGTTCAATTAATGCTGCTCATTTGATATACTCAATGTTACTCTGTTGAGAGAGAGAGACAGCTGCCTGCCACACTTGATTGAATACTTCACTACAACCAGGTGAGTGCACTTAAATGCATTCCTACTTCTCATATATTGGAAGATGTCAGTTGTTGAAATGTCATTTGCTGAAAGATGTCTGCTATAGTATCAAGTATATAAATATAAATATATAAGCCATTGAATTATTTCAGCAATAAAGAATTATAAAAAGAGAGCTTTTGTTGTGTAAAAAACCTCCAAAATTTGAATATTTTGTACAAGCATCGAAATGTGATGTTATCTTTTAATTATGTGCCTTATATTATATCTTGGTTGGTAATTACTCAATTAACTCGCCATCTAGAACAAATTCTTTGAATTTTTATAACCTAATCTATTATAACTTTCAGAGGCAGTGGGGCAGTGCAGCAGCAGCAGTCTAGGCCGAATTTGCTCATCTTCATTTGCTACATTACTGAGAAGCGAAGCCCACAAATCTGTAACTTGAGTGGATATTGAAAGGGATTTTTGATAAGCACATCTTGATTGACATTGTATTTGATGTATTAGCACCCTCACACATTTGACAACTTGCTATAGGCACTTGCATTTTTTTCAATTTTTTCTTGCCAAGGAGCAATCCCAGTTTTGGGAGGGAGTTGTTGTAGAGACTTTTGCTCCAAGAAACCATGATGCCTTCAAACAACGGTTACCAAGCTTCCTTCAGCTCTGGCCCTGGAAATGCTTCACCCATTTACCATCAAGTGAATGGCATTGGTGGAAGCAATGGATTTCCCTCCTCTACACCACAACCTGTCAGCACTACAGGGCAGCCCATTAAGTCCTTCGCTATTCCAGCTCCAGGGCAACCTCCTCCATTTCGGCCTCCTGCATCAATATCATCGGCCATGCCACTAGCTCCAACTCAACCCCCGGCATTTAAACCCCCTGTATTTTCAAGTTTTCCCAGACCTCCTGCATCTCAACCTCAGTTCACGCCTAATTTATCTCAACCCCTAGCTGCACGTGCTCCAGTTCTCTCGCCTGCCTCCCAACCTCAGGGTTTTACTGCTCCTGGAACCCAGCCTTCATCCTCGTCTTCTTTCAATGGCGGCGGTGGAGTTGCGTCGGCGGCGGTCCGACCTCCTCTTTTTTCAACTGGCAATCAAGCCAGTTTCATAGCCCCTGGTGCTTCCTCCTCGGCCAGTTCTATGCCTGCTTTTAATCCTTCATTTTCCAATAGTTCAAAACCAATTAATGGAAGTGGTCCCCCATCCAGACCTAGTTCAGTGAATTTACCTTCGTCATCCTTTGTCTCAGCACCAAGAATTACAACACCTGTACTGACACCATCAGCCCCATCTGCACCATTTAAACCAATGCCTATGCAAAGTGAATTGGTGGTACGACCTCTGAGTACAGGTTTACAGTCTTACCCATCTTCTGGTCCAGCAATACAACCTCCTCCTACTTTCACTTCATCCACTGCTCCTATTAGACCTTCTTTTGCTCCACCACCCACAACTGTGCTGCCAGGTCCCAGACCAATGGCTGCTCCTCACAGTAACTTCTCGCCTTATCCTCCTGCTTCAGCCGCTTCATTCAACCCATTGCCTTCTCAACCAAAGCCTCCAACCTCCATTGGTCCTCCACAGAATTCCAGTTTCAATCCAAGTGCGCTCAACTTTGCCCGACCGCCTGTTGCATTTCCTGCTCCTCCTGTTGTCAATAAACCTCCTCCGCCACCCAATGTTCAACAACAGCAACAGCTTTTGCAACAGCAACAACAACAGGCCCAACAGCAACAACTTTTGCAACAGCAACAACAGACCCAACAGCAAAACCAGCAGCATCAACAACTACAACAACAAACACAAGCGTTTGTTCAACCTCAGTACCAAAACTCTGCTTCAGGGTACCGTTCTGTAGTTACTCAAGATGGTTGGAACAAGGCGTGGGGCACAGACTACGTTGATTTATTGCAGCAGCGGCATATTCTTCCGCCTGAAAAAGTTCTACCTCCCAAGCCGGTTTTAGCCCAAGAGTTTGTGAAGAACTGCTCCCCTGAAATCCTACGGTGCACCTTCACCAAAATTCCAGAGACTAAAAACATTCTGCAAAAAGCAAAGATGCCCTTTGGTATTCTGATACATCCTTTCAAAGATTTAGAGCAATTGCCTGTAGTTAGTTGTCAACAAATAGTGCGATGTCGAGCTTGTCGTACTTACATCAATCCCTTTGTTGTGTTCCGCGGCGAACGCCGTTGGGAGTGTAATTTATGTTATAGACTTAATGATTTGCCTGAAGAGTTTCAATATGATCCGGTGAGCCAAACGTATGGTGACCCCTCTCGCCGCCCTGAGGTCAGAGAGGCCACCATAGAGTACATCGCACCATCCGAGTACATGCTGAGACCACCTCAACCAGCCACGTATTTGTGGCTCTTGGATACATCACGCCAGGCTATCGAAACGGGTTACCTGAAAGTCGTGTGTGATACGCTGCTTGAGAACATCAATGCCATTCCCGGCGACCGCCGTGCTCTCATTGGCTTCATGACGTTCTCGTCAACTGTGCAATTCTACCTTATGCCTGAGGGCAGTGATGGTGTCAATATGCTGGAAGTCGGCGACTTGGACGATATCTTTGTTCCACACCCTGACGATCTGCTAGTAAATATCAAGGAGCAGCGTGAACAGATCGAAAAGCTGCTCAGAACATTACCGCAGACTTTCGCCGACACGACACACACGCAGTCCGCGCTGGGGCCCGCCCTAACTGCCGCCTATAAGCTTCTCTCTCCTCTTGGAGGGAGACTTACGGTCCTGGCGTGCCTTCTGCCGAGCATCGGGCCTGGGGCGCTCAAACCTAGGGAAGACCCCAACCAGCGCGCTGCTGCTGATGTGTTGCACCTTAACCCAGCGACTGACTTTTACAAAAAGCTGGCTCTTGACTGCTCAGGACTACAGGTCGCAGTTGATCTGTTCACACTCAACTCCCAATATGTCGACCTGGCGACCTTATCCGGTATCAGCAAGTTCTCTGGAGGGTGCGTGCACCATTTCCCAAATTTCCACGTGCACCTGAATCCTCCTCTAGTGTCTACATTTGTTTCCTGTCTCACTCGCTACATCACCAGAAAGATAGGTTTTGAAGCTGTCATGCGAATCCGCGCTACTAGAGGCCTCGCAATTACGAACTTCCACGGACATTTCTTCGTGAGGTCTCCTGATCTTTTGTCCCTTCCCAACATCAACCCCGATGCTGGTTTCGCCATGCAAGTATGCATCGAGGAACCACTTCATAACATACGCACCGCAGCTTTCCAAGCAGCGCTGCTGTACACATCGAGTCGCGGTGAAAGGCGCATCCGCGTCCACACGCTCTGCCTGCCCGTCACAGGCAACCTGCCTGATGTCCTACACGGCGCCGACCAGCAGGCGGCCATCGCGCTGCTCGCGCGCATGGCTGTCGACCGCTGCTTGGCTTCCACTTCAACGGACGCTCGTGACGCGCTTGTCAACGCGGCCGTCGATGTCTTGTCTTCGTACAGAAACTCGCTGTCGCAGTCGCCTGGACGAGCACTCGTCGCCCCGCACAACCTCAAGCTCTGGCCGCTCTATACTCTGGCGCTGCTCAAGTCGGTGAGTTCCTATCCCGTGGAGGCAGTCCAATTTTTGTGCTTCTGTCACGTTTTATGCTATTAGAGCAGGTTAATTAGTTTAGAAATTATAGTTCTAGGATGCGTAAATTAGCACTTGTTTGTATATTTTTAGTTTATAATTTTCATAATAAACCAACAAGAAATTGTTAATAAATAACATGATCTGGTGTTCAAGCAAGCTTTACATTAATTTTTCACTGTGCATGTTTCTCGATTTAAACTCAAAAATTTATTGAGAAATCATATGCTTATGGTTTAGTTATGACATTTCTAGTCGTGCCACTGACAAAGCGCCTTAATGTTCAGGTTGCGTTCCGCACTGGCTTGAGCACCAAGCTGGATGACCGTGTGTTTGCTATGTGCGAGCTCAAGACGATGCCCACACAGACGCTTATCAGCAGCATCTACCCTGACCTCTACCCCATCCACGCCCTCACCGAAACTGGCGCTCTCAACGTCAATGATGAGGTCAGCAGCTACCTTTATGATACCTGTGCTTTTGTGTGTGTTTGTTGCTGGTACTGCCTCCACATGGGCTTAAAAAAATTTAAGTACAGTCTCTTAAACAATTCAGTAAGTAGTACGCGAGGTATCATGCCACTATTTGAGACGCGGTGCTTGCCTGGATTTTAGAGTGTTATTTCAAAATAATCATGGCGACCTTATCCGGTATTAGCAAGTTCCCTGGAGGGTGCCTGCACAAGTTCTCCAATTTGCACGTGCACCTGAATCCTCCTCTGGTCTCTACATTTGTTTCCTGTCTCACTCGCTACATCACCAGAAAGATAGGCTATGCAGCTGTCATGCGAACCCGCGCTACTGGAGGCCTCGCAATTACGAACTTCCACGGACATTTCTTGTGATGTCTTCGTAATAAAATAGTTAGCATACTGGCGGTGTTACTGCCTTTCGTAATATTTGTAAAATATCTTTTATGGTTAAAAACAATCATACTCATGCTTTATTTAATGGAACAAATTACTGCCTGCTATATACTGTGCTGTCAACTGTCTGTTGCCAGCTGCTTGTTGAAGATTGGATCACTTGAATCATTTTTTTTCTTGTTGACGTATCATTAGTCTTAACTTCTATATTTTCGCAGGTGGTGCCTCAGCCTCCAAGACTGCAGTTGTCAGCTGAGCATTTGTCCATGGACGGCGCGTATCTCGCTGACACAGGTAATTAGAACTGACGCCGACACCTGCTTCATTCCGACACCTGCGTGACAAAGCATTGAAAGAGAGAAAAAAACTGACACCTGTATGACAATTTGCTGAATGATAACTAACGAGACTTCTGCACGAAAGATGAAACTTCACTGTTACACGAAATTTTTGACACGATCGTCATGACTATGACGATCGTCATGACTTTCGCCAAGCAAAAGTTATGATGTCATTCTCCAACTGTTACATCTCATTTTAGCTTTTGGCTAATTCAAGTACCAAGGATTTTTTTGTTAGCTGCTGATAAGACTGATTTATAAGGCTTCAAACCAGCCATTCTATGTAGTGTCAAATGGACTATGCAATATTGCGCAGTCTGATAAACTATCAAACTGTGCTAAGACTGATAAACTACGTATTATGGTGACTTATATTTATGTATGTAGAAACAATACTATTGAACTCGCCTATAACATCAAATAATCGTGGCTGTAATGCATAATTAAAATACGTATATAGTGATGCTCCCATTAATATTGAGTAACTCACAGACCGCGAGCTTCCATAATTGATTCAGTAAATGTAATTTTCTCTAATTGATCATAAACAAAGAAAAGTTATCAGGGATTTTCCATTTTACTTTATATAGAGCGATTCCATGCAATTTATGGGTGTATGATTGAAATAAAAAATTGTCTGAAAGTCATACAGTTAACAAATAAACCGCGGTGCTTATGTATGTAGAAACAATACTATTGAACTCGCCTATAACGTCTAATAATCGTGGCTGTAATTTATAATTAAAATACGTATAAAGTGACGCTCCCATTAATATTGAGTAACTGACAGACCGTGAGCTTGCATAATTGATTCAGTAATTGTAATTTTCTCTTATTGATCCTCGATATAGAAAAGTTATCGAATTTTCCATTTCAATTTTTATGGGGAGATTCTATGCAATTTCTGGGTGTACGCTGGCAATAAAAAATTGACTGAAAGTCGTATAGTTAACAAATAAAACATAGTGCAGTCGTTTTAACGTATCGTATGCGTTTATGATTTTTGCAGCAAAGAAACAGAACTGCGGGCCTAATCAAGTACTTGTTGTGCAGGCTCGCGTATGGTGGTGTATATCCGCAGCGGGGTGAGTGTGGAGTGGCTGCAGCAGGTGATGGAGGTTGAGCACTTTGGCGCCCTGCCGCAGATCATGCACAGCCTACCTGACCTCGACACGCCCGCATCTAGGCTCCTCAACGCCTTCGTCAGGCACCTCAACTCCAATCGCCCCTTCGCCTCCCCGCTCGTCGTCATAAGGTTCACGAAGAGCCTCATCTGATCTAACTCATTCAGCATGAGAATGATCAATAATATTTACTTTATAATGAATAAAATATTGAAATGCTCTCATCAAGTAGATCATATAAATGATTAAATTAATAGCTTGACTAATAAACCTTCAAAATACTTCCCCATCACCATTCATAATAGATATCTTAATTTAAGTGCTTCGTCACGAGTCTCTCATAAGTCCATCCATCGCCGTCTCCCATAACAATCCATCGTCTCACGTGTTAAATGAGAACGTTTTCTCTGATGTGCAATGAGTTAACTTGTCATGAGGTTGGTCTCCGGCTACTGTTGATTAAATCTCACCCAAAAATATCCCCAAAACATACGGGTAATTCTTAACTTTCAAGGTCATACATAACTATTTAGAAATAAGTCAAATACTTCCGTCTACATTGTTTTGCTATTCCATCTTCTCATTGTTAATCATAATCATCACACTAAATCTTTGTTGTGCTTCTGAGCAACTGAATTTCACTGCATAGATACGATATTAGATGCATAATGTTTGTCGGGCAGCAGCAGATTATTGCTTAGACATCATATTTAATACTATATCATGTCGAGAAGAGACACTTTATTGCTAAGAAGTGTTTGATAATAACAGTACTGTAACATTATCATGTCTGGCAAAAACATTTCTTTGATAGACACCATGTTTGATAATGCTTAACGTTTGATAATGCATCATGTGTTGCAGAGAGGACAGCGCGGCTCGGGGGCAGTTCACGCAATTGCTCGTGGAAGATCGATCAGAAGGCGCCAAGTCCTACGTGGAGTTCATCCAGTTTTTGTCTAGTAGCGTAAAATAATGCAATGTGACTCCTCAGCTCTCTGTCTCACTGGTTTTGCTATCGAGAAAAAAATGGACGTTCAGTAAGATTTTTTCTACACAAATGTACTCGCTCTTGTCTTTAGTTAAATGAAATTTTTCTAAGATACGAGTGACCACACTCGGTTATTAAAACTTGAGTGTTTCTCTTCGAATAGCTAGTTAGATAATTTGGTTCAGTCGCAATTCCTAAATATGTATGAAGTGATATTTAATGCATAGCTAAGTTGACCTGCATTTGAATTAATCAAAGAATCCTACCATCATTTTCGATTTCCTATCATCTACGGTACGTGTGAAAGATAAAGCAATTTTGGCCCAAGTTGTGAATAGGCCATTATGATATCTAATTGCACAAGTAATGCTAGGGTTTAATGGAGAATTGTTTAAATTCCGATTTTTGTAAGAGATTAGTGAGCTGCATCATTGTATCACAGATAGTAGATAGAGTATCTTTGTAATATTCGACTAATCTGAATATACTATATTGATTACATGGTAGCTTACTTTAGTTATCTCGACTGGATAATGCAGGAAACATAGTAGACGGCATGCAATTTGGATGAGCAAGCACTGAACATTTATTGCAATGTAATGATAGCAATTGATGCTTTGGTTCCATTGTGGTCACATTGAAACTGTAAGCCTCTTTGAATTAGATGAGTGAGGTTGCACGACATGTAATGGCGTACGCCTGCCGTTCACCGGCATCATATTATTTGCGAAGACCTTTAGATATCGTGCAGCCAACTTCACCCTATATTAAGCATTTGTTAGTGTTAGCGTTTTGTCCTCTCACTCGCTACGGCTGAGTTAGAAGAAGTAGCGTTTATTATTCATATTGTTAGTTTAATGTGGTCAATTTTTATTAGGCTATATTCGGATGAAGTTTCCTTTGTACAACGGGTAGTTGTTAACTCCAACAAGTTCGTTATAGCCAAGCATGTGGGAATTGTAGGTTTTTCAATGGTTTCACCGTCTTGTTAGCTAAATCTGTGCATTTCTTTTCGTACTCCATGGGGCTCTTTTTTTACTAGTTAGTGATTGGTGTATCCGTGATACCTTCCCTCAAAACGCGCATGTGTTTAAAGTTTTGAACGAGTCCACTGTCTTGCCTCATTTTCTACTCTACATTTTAACGCCTCTATCTCACGCCGCTCGATATCAATTCCTGGTTTTGGTGTGGTGCCCTGAGTATATTTTATATCAAATCATTGTATTCGATTTGCTTTGGCTCAGCAATGTGGGCATTTTTTCTGTGCCATTGGAAATCAAATGTAATGCTTACCTTTCGTTTATGTTGTGCGTGCAGTTAGTCCATTAGTCGATGTAATAAATCTCCCCGTTATGTGCCCTGCCTTGGACTCTTGCTATTTTTCATAATGACGTTAATATCAATTTGTGCTGAAAATAATCATGAATTTCCTAGAACTTTCTAATGAAAATTTAATATAACATCTATAATATTGACGAAATGTGAATGGCTTAGTATCTAAATTCTACAAAGATGCATTTTAGACTTGAATTCTTTACAACTATTTTGAATGGAGTTCGATTATGATGAATTAAAGATATTACCATCTCTCATGTGACTTTCCTAAATAAGATAATTTTTCTGGTATGAAGGCCTTGGCTTTTACTCGTCCACTTATGATGATGTCGATTGGGTTGCCCTCTTGTCATGGGCGCGTGTAAATGAAGGATGCTTATAATATTATTTGTGATGAGCCCTGGACCGCTATGTATGAAGTGTAGCTGTAATTTACGACAGATTCATTTTCGAAGATCTGTTCTCTTTACATTTGTACATCAATTATCGAGTTCGACATTCATAGTGTGGGGGAAAGTTCTGTGAATATTCACCTTAGTTTGATCTTTGTTCAATATTCACTGTAATGATTTAGCAGAGATGATGAAGGCTGAAAATTTCTTCACGACATTTTCTAGGTTTAAACGAGATTAAAGTTGACTAGAAGACTACGTGTTGACAGTCGTATTAATAAGTTGGACTATTTGCTTCTTGAACACACGCAAAGGTCTCGAGGCTTCAGTTGTCACACGCAGACAAAATTTAACTATCAATTTTACGAATATTTTTTCCGAGACTACAGATTATTGTTTTCAGATCTGCATTGAAGGACTAGCGTGACTAGAAAACTGCATCTAAACATAAAAACTTGATACAGACTCCGGCAGCATATAATTGACTATAGTTGTAACTGTGAATTAATTTGCTTTGCTTTATCATAATGACACGTGGCGGAAAAAATAATTGTAAATCGTTTCAGCACTCCACGTTTAGCAAATTGTGATTTTTATACTTCAAATATATTCAAGTGATTATTTAGTTTTAAAATATGTACTTTGGTAGTTTCTTTACAGCTCGCATTTCGCAACTGGTTGCTCTGTGCGTCTGCCCTTGAATATTTCATCTTATTTGAGAAATTTCTTCTCTTTCAAGCTTGCAATTCTATGCATATTGACGCAGAAAAAAGCATCTACAAAGTTTATGTTCACAGAAATATTATTAACGATTTATTGTTACTGTATTGCTGTTTACTTTACTGTTGCTTTGCGCTGGGATGTCGATTTATTCAATTATATTATTTTCGGCTGGAATTTGGTTTTAATTCGAACATTTGTGTTTTTTGCGCATTTTCTCATTTATGGAAAAAATGCACTATTGTGCTCGTCATGGCCGTCTGTCCGTCCGTCCGTGACTTAACGTTTTCGTCGAGGAGAAAATGCGCTCTCTGTCACTCACTGCAGTGAGTACTGAGTTATATTTTTTATTACTTTCGTACAACGAATACGATGATTTTCATTAGATTATGATAAATTTTATTCGTGATAGTTTCGCAGCTACGAGTCATTGCGCTAACACGCAATGAAGGCCTCTAATAAGGCCTTCAACACCTCAACCCTTCAACACTTACTATGTAGATAAGGAATCCGTTAGTGTTCTACTTAGGGTTAAAAAATTCTTTTTATTTGCCGTGTCATCAGGGAAATTGGACTTGACTCATTGAGTTCAGAATTTTGTTTTTTGAATCATGCAGCAGGTTTGTATTTCAATTCTACGCTCAAGAAAATTTAGTGACAGAAGGTTTTTGTTCTGCAAGAAAGTCGAATTTGTTGTCGTCGTGAAATGTTAACTTTCTGAGTAACAAATACTTAGACGCGTAGGGGTCAGAGATGGCAACAAAATTTTCCGTAATGATTTAATTTACAAATTAACAAAAATTGCGGTGAAGGATCTTAACTTGGAAGGAGGGCTAAAGCCCGCCCCTCCCCAAAAAGTCTTATGACGCTTCATCTGAGAGGCAGTCCGTGAATTAATTAAATTGATTCGTGCAGTACATAGGATGGAGTTTTAACATGAGCTCCAAAATAAATTATGTGGTTCTAACCTACGTCTTCTTCCTTTGATGTGTGAGACAAGACGAGAAAATGTTTTTTATTTTTGACGTGAATCATGGAAAGTATTTTCATTTGAGCATGTACTGATGTAGAGTAGTTTTTTCATCTTGCCAGTGGGTGAAGCTTCTTCAAGGATCTTTGGTGCATTCCTTGAAGTTCGACTGAAGGCTGAAAACCTATCAGGATATCTACAAATTAAGTAAAGTTTTATCAAATGCATCAAATAAATAAATTTCGAGGAGTGAAAAAGAATTTGTTGCGAAGCCCACACCACTTAAACAAAAGCTAAATTGTCAGCAAGTTAGGAGACTAATGAGGAAAGTGATTCCTTCGCAGCCTACGAGAAAAAGAACTACTGAATGCCTGCAATGTAGAGCATGCCATATCCCGCAGTAATTTCTTTAAAAGCTCTTTTTATTGGTAATAAAAATTAATCGTCAAACATTCTTTATGCAGTAAACCTATTCAAAACCTACGACACTTCTGCTGTCCGTCCACAGTTTTTTATGTACAAAATGGTCATGTGAATATCGCCGATCTTAAAGAATCTATTCAGTTCTGGATATTCTTAATCATTCATTCTATTGTTTATAATCTTTAGCATAGCAGAAGAAACAAAATCTAGGTTATACACGGTCAAAATACAAAGCTATTGGCTAATAAACAGCAATATATTCCTGTTGTAACATGAGACTACGTACTAAACCGACAAATGTGCGGACGTGTTTTCCGTCTGTGATTCTGAAACAGGAGAAAGAATCTCATAATATAAATATCAAATTTTGATACCGATAGTTTGGTGACCTTTTTCGGGCACCATGCATCGTATTCGGAACGCGACTGCTTTCTAAGTTAAGGCTTGAAAAAGTTTGCACCAAGGAGCGTGACGTGCAACTACATAATCGGAATTAACTTCTTATCATCACGCGGGCATCAGTAACCATGATTACCTTCTGATCTGTTATTCCTCAAAATGCATTAACGTATTTTGATCAACAGGAATGCAGTACAGGTACTACGGACACAAGGGTACTACGTACAGGTACTACGGCCTCCTCCTTCCATGCAAAAACTTTTGTCGTAATTTTTTTCATTCAGAAACATTTTTTTCGTATACCGAGTCTCCAGAGTACTATAATAACATAACATGACATAGTGATGTCGGCGCTGAAGTGTAGGCCTGATGTGGCCTGTCGCCGATTCTTTTCCTTTTCGTGCCTTGTGCATAGATCTAAACTCGTGGCATTTGATAGGATCTTTTCATGACTGACGATAGTTTGAAGTAGCTACTAGACTTAGCTAAATTTTGATCTACGCCTGACCGAAAATTGTTTTTATATCCATCTAGCTGCTATCATAACTACTGTGAATTAAGAAGAAATGTAAGATAGGCTCTAAATTAAGAATTAATCCCTTTAGTGGCGCCCCTCTTGTCTCCACAGTTTGAGAACCGTTACACTGAACGCATATATTGACCTCCTATAAACGCTCAATAATAAGTGGGTCGAAACGACCCACACTTAGTGTAAATTATAACTCAAAAGACCAGGCTTCTCGTAATGTTTTTGTTCTAAAAAAAGGCGGGCACAGTCTTAAAATATTTCAGTGATAGTTTTGCTCGCGTTGTTTCAAATGTAATTCACTTCGTAATTTTGTGGTTATTTCGGGCTAGTATTTTAATGAAAGTCTAATAGTCACGCTTGACGAAATGTTTCTTATGTTGATGGAAAACATGGCATTTCAGAGGAGCTTAAATGCGGGGCATGATTATGAAAAATTATCCGGTGAAGTTCACAGAAAAAAATGGAGTGGCGCCGATAAAAAAAATTATTCCAAATTATACCATAAACGACAGTCGTGTGTTGGCGACGTAGTTAAATTTATATTAAGAAGGCAGAGGCAGCGACATATTTTCTCTCGAAATGAAAGTCAGAAAACGAGGTAATGGCAAATACAAGTCTTTCCATGTATGTTTTTCCATATGCTTTCTACTTTTTGCATGCATTTTCTAATGGATTAGATCTCCACACTATACCACTTAACTTATCACCGTCCGATATTTCTAGCTGATCACCTAGTAAGCCAACTTTTCTTACGTGAATGTTAAATGACCCGTAGTTTGAAGGTTATAAATCACAAAAAAACGAATCTTTAAGTATTTTAAGTACTTTTGATTGATAAAACTGTCAAATATCATTAACTTTTATGGTTAACTAAAAATATGTCTCATAAACGATATAAGTGGTAGCCAATCGGCCGGTAATGTGCCAGCACATTATGCGCTCCTCGCCTAATGAGATGATGACAAATATAACAAAGTATTGTCGAGTCGCATAATGGCTTCTGATATTTCTTCCCACATCGCGGAACGTAAGACAAAAAGTCTTGTGGTGTTTTTTACCAGGTTTGGACGCATTTAAATGTGTTCACGGAACGAGCCAGAGTCACTGAGCTTCGAAACTCGCATAGGTAAAGTGAGCGCCAGCTGCTAGAGAAGTAGCGACTTAATATAGTTTTCAAGTTGTTTTATTTATTTATTTATAAAACTTTTCAGAAAAATAAAATAAAAAAATTTTCCCATCAATCAAAAAATGATGGAAATCTAATGATATAGAGTACTATTAAAACTTTATCTCATGCGGTTTTCTCAAACTTGAAGTTATCAATATCGATAAGTTTTAATATCCCCTAATGCAATAAAATACTCATACATATTTTTAAGATACTATAAGTTCGTTTAAACAAAGATGAAAACTCAAGCTTTGAAATACGTCATGAAAAATCAAATTCTCCTCGCCATGCTGTCTTTTTTTCTTCGAGAAAGCGAAGCAGCCTTCATCACTGCAAAGTACATTAAGGTAAGGGGATATTTTGTGGAGCATATTTTGAATAATCGAGAAACCGCACAAACGAGTTGGAATAACATTGTTTCCATTTTCATTACAAATGAAAAGGTATCAAGTTTTTGTTAGTATCAACTGTATTTGCATCAACTGGTTGACCCTCTACCGCCGTATGTCACTCTCCGGGAAAATAACTTTCAACTTAAATTACGTATACGTAAACTATTGAGTGTAGCAACCTGAGGACGTTTGTACGCAACAGAGAACATTTTAAAGTTGTCGTACGTGGCGGCAACCATCAGTGCAAGTCATTTTGCGCTCACTAGAACGTATCCTTTTTGGGTAGCAGGCTCGTGACAATATTGCTTCGCGCTTCGGTTACTCGTGTTAGGCGGTAGAGGGCTAAAATCATTGACACATTGAATACACGTGTAACATGGTTGAATTAATTTTTTAGTACATCAGAATCATGTTGGTGAAAAGTAAGCTACTCACTGCTACTTGATAATTGCATCAAAATTTGTATAAATTATAGAACAAATGGCTTTATAAACTATAAAATTAATAATAACTATAATTAAAAAAGTGACGTCACCCGCTGATGTCGACAGGTGACTGTAGAGAAGAACCACACAACACAGGCGTCGTGTGGTACCGTGTCGGAGACGCTGGCGCTGCCGCAGCTCTTCACTAGTCGCTCGATCGTGTGTATGGCGCTGTGTCTCGCCAAGGGCAGCGACTGCTTTATCGCCACAGACATCGGTGAGAAAATATATTTCAGAAATCAAAGCCAATTAAATTATAACTTGAACCAGCGTTGTTTGGGATAGATAATGGAAAATTGAAATTTTCCAGTAGGGTAACATGGAGCAGCGAGCCCATTGCGGGTCATGGGCCCATAGCGGGTTTCTCGCTAAGTATGGCAGATATTGATCCGTGTTCTCTACCGCCGGTCGACAGTTTCACTGGGATGAAGTGTACGGATTTACGTTTTGCTAAATGTTTGCGTTATTAAGTTATTTGTGAATAACTGTTTTAGTCCAGATAAAAATTCTTTTGCTGCTAAATAAATTTTTTTTCGATTACTGAAGATGAAGCTTTTGAAATTACTGTGAATTATATTTTCAAAGTAATATTTATAGGGATAATTTTGAGATCAAGTTGAGACTACTATCTTTTAAAATAAAATGCTGACTCGATATAAATTGAAATGATACCTTGTGTGGCAACGGGCCCACGCGTGTCACGGGGCAAAGCGCCCATGGTGAAGTCTAAAAAAGGGGGGGGCGCTGCCCCATGTTGCCCTACAATATAAACTAATCAAACTAAATTATACCTGAATTATATATCCTGCTC